GTAACCAGCGTATCCAGCGTAACCAGCGTAACCAGCGTAACCAGCGTAATCGGCGTAATCGGCGTAATCAGCGTAATCAGCGTAACCAGCGTCATCAGCGCAGCTAGCCACCGCCAGCGTACCAGCGTGCAATCACTCGCGGACACGCTTTGCCACGTCGCTCACATTTGGGGCCCAGGCGGATGTGAAGAGAGATCTCGAGATCTTTTCTTGTGGAAACTCCGAAGTGCACAATCGATAGTAGTCCGAAAACTTCCCTGCCGGTAAGTGGCGCAGCTTGGATCTGTCCAGCAGTGGTTGGTCATATTTGTATGGGCCCTGGCGAGGGCGTTTGTTCGACGATGGATGAGCGGAGTCGGGCAGTGATTCTCCAGCTGTGTGGTATAATTGATGGAGAAAATGGTTCACCAAACTTCTCTTGTAGCTCTGTTTCCCAGGTCCCTTTGGGACATATCTGCCATCCAATGGCGCTGTTGGAGCACCTTCTCGCACCGACTTCTGGAGGGTTCTGAATCGCCCCTTCCCTAGTCCCAGCAACTTGATGAACCCCTTGTTGCATATGCTGTGACCCAATAGTGTCAAGGAGCGAGTGCCCCGGCACGAAGGAGCATGTCCCTGCAAGAGATCTCAGGCTTGAGCTATATGTCGACGCAGACTTTGGAGGCGACGCCGGTGACGTCAAGTCAACCTCGGGCGGGTTCCTCGTACTAAAAGGTCCTAACACATTTTTCCCACTTGCATGGATCTTGAAAAGACAGACATCCACTTCACGCTCCACCACGGAGTCCGAGGTGGTGAGTTTGGCACACTCTTTGTACCAGGAGGGTATACCTGCTCTTCAACTCTGGGAGAAACTCTTGCAGAGGCCGGTGGACTTAGTTATCCACGAGGACAACCAAGCCACCATCATAGTCGTTCGTAAGGGGTGCTCCCCGAAACTTCGACATATCGGCCGCGCACACAAGATAAACCTCTCATCCTTGAAAGAGTGTCTCGATGACCCATGCATCAATGTGCAATACATCGACACCAACGAACAGGCCGCCGACATCTTTACTAAAGCACTGCCACCACAGAAGTGGTACAAAGCTTTGTGCCTTCTCGGCATACGTACAGATATTCGCGAGCCGAAGCCATCCCTTAGGGATCGAAGCTTTTCGCTAGGAGCCGATGTAGCTGCAAAAGCCGCTGCTTATAATGCGCGGTAATTAATTCCTGTACATACAACCCATGGCACGCCAAAACGGCGAGGGGGGAGTC